TTCTATATTATTGATTTATGTTCACAATTAGAGGATGAATGGAAGCGGTTGTATAATGAAAAAACAGAAATATTAACATTGTATCGTGGACAAAGAATGTCGAATGAAGAATTTGATAAATTAAACGATAGTGCTGGCTGTCTTATTTCAACAAATGGATTTTTCTCAACAACAAGAGATATTCATGTAGCTTTTATAGTTAAAAAAGTAAATTCTGTGAAAAACAGGTGCAGAAGTTAGATTTGTTTTTTGGATTTGCCAGTTTTTTGCACAAGGAAATTTTCCTAGAAGCCTTACCTGTAAAATTTCGAAAAATATGTGAGATGGTACAGATTTTTCCGTCTCGAAAACAAGGAACAGAAGGAGGTCGGTTTTATCAGCGCCATCCGATAGCTATCCTAACACGGAATATAAATTATAAAGAATATAAAATTCTTTGTCTCCGTAGACTTAATACATCTTTATCCAGACTTTTCAGCCTTCTTTAGTGGACGGACACAGGTAAACTAATAAGAATGGAAACGGAAATATTTGGCGAAAAATGCATTAAGTTTACAGAATAAAGCATTTTATACTCTCTATAATTTATATTCCGTGTTAGGATATCTATGTCACAATTCGTTTATACTGTTTATTGAAAAAGGAATTGCTTCATTGCTGAATTTGATGTTCTCTAATAATGTACGACTTCTTTTCCTGTATTGTCATCGTCAGTTTTCTTCAGTTCATTTTTACCAATAATTTGACGAATGACATTAATATTGGCATCACTTAGCGGTTGTGAGCAAAAATCATAAAGATTATTGTACAAGCGAGAATATCCAATTTTATTGGTTAATACTGTTATCAATTCCACTGTTTAATATTGCAAAACCTTCATGTTGTTTTGGAACAGTAAAAGTAAATTCGTAACAACTCGAGTGAAGATTGTACCATTACGTTTGGCACAATATTTTCTCCTCAACCCACTAAAACCTTCTAATGTTTGGCATTAATAATTTTATACGTAACAACTCTAATATTTTCTAGGATCAAATCAAGTATGGTCAAATTCTTTCTATAACCTTGAATCTTTTTATCGACAACATCATAAATATTTGATTTCGTTGCATATGCCGGTACAATGTTAAATTCTAGACGAGAAAAGCGGGTTCACGTATTCACGCGTAAAAATACATCTAGATATCACTATTTCTAGCTGCGAGCTGAGACTACAAGTTTATGAAAAACGTCGTGCAAAACATCAACCTTTCGGTGGTATACTCCACTCAATCCACCTTTGGAAGATATGAGTACCAGTGTATATCTTTTCACAGTAACCTGTATACCTCCCGGTGTGTGTGTTTATTACACATTCGTGTAAATTCAACCTCTTCGTATATCACTCTTTGAGCTGTAAGTCACTTTTTCTCTGAGCCTAAAGATCGTTCTTGGACGATTGAAACAAATCTCCAAAATGAATGAAAATGGAGATTGTCACCGATTTTGAATCTATATTTTTTTGGAACAAAAGTGAAAGGACCTAGTGAAAAGCGAATTTTAGTTTAGAAAATATGGTGTATTTTTTCAGGAGTGCAAAACTTAATACTAGTACAACAGTATTTTATCATTTTTTCGAAATTTAGCTTCATGCTCATTCTCGAATATTGATCGACTAAGGAAATAATGACAGGACGATTGACATAAGAATTCTCATTCTCGAGTATCTAAAGCATCTGAAAATTTGACGTTGTGAGAGTGAAGTTGTCAAAATTTAGAATGTCTAAATTGTGAAACAATAGCTAAAATCTCTATCTAGCTTAAAACTAGCCACATTAGATAAAGATTTATTTACTGTAATGAGGAGGACGAAATCTACAAGGAATTTTTGCTCGGATCGCTCGACACGGCATCATTTCAAAATTTTAGAATTAATTCATTGCGAATCTAAAATTGTGATAGGTCATTTGAGCGTTATTTTTAATACGTATGATAATATTTCTGACGAAGTGTTTCCGTAGTTATTAAATAGGCACTGACAAAACTTATTCAATAAATTCCTGCGAAAGAAGCAGAATAAGGTTGATAGAAAAGTAGAAAGTTTTATCAACCGCTGGACTCCGCTTCTGATGCACAGTAATCGCACCGCATCGTTCACATAATCCTGTGAAAAAATCATCAAACATCCTTTCAACTTTCTTAAATGAAATATATTTAATAACAAAATTATAAAACTTCATATATTGAGTGTTATATCTGACTAGATTAAGCAAAATCATTGAATGTTTTCAAACTTCCAACGGTCGTAGTTCGACTAATGGCATCTGACAGTTCCTGTTTCATCTGCACATAGTTGGTATTGTACTTGTTGATGATTATTTTCAACTCGTCAAAAGCTGGTATGATCGTCGCATTCACTGCCTGCTGCAGCTCTCGAATATACTGATCTTGTTCTGTCAGTTTTACTTCCATTTGCAACAGTTTCGACTCCAAACTGTTCAACTTGTTCACTTCTCGATTTCCACTGTCTTTTAACAAGTCTGTTGGCATCGCCTGCATTGACTTGGGTGTTGACTGGTCGGTTTTTGAGACACGTGATGCAGCAGTGGAGGTGTGGACTACCGGTGGCTGAGTGAGGGGTTCTGGGACACGTGATTTTTGAACCGTGCTCAGTGATGGCCAGGCATCATCATCAGTTGTTATCTGGTCGGTTTTTGAGACACGTACTGTGGCAGCGGAGGTGTAGGCTACCGACGGTTGAGTGACGAGATCTGGGATACGTGATTTTTGAACCGTGCTCAATGGTGGCCACACATCATCAACAGTTGAGTAGGATTCGAATTTTTGTTTAACGCAATCTGACAAAAGCAAATTATTTCTTGATTCGCTATAATACTGCTCTTCGACGTATTCACACTGCTCGTTTCTCCATTCTGGACACTGGTTCACTTTGTGACCGGGCTGTTGGCATTTAAAACAAGTCATAACTGGACGAGATGGTCTTTTCTGCGGCTGAGCATTCTTCTCGAAGGAATTAGGATCTTCGACACGATATTTATAGTCGCCAATGCTGATAAAGCCCTGCTTCAAGATATCTTTCACAACACTGAATGATTTGAACTCGGCAAGTAACGTGCTTATGAGCTGCTTTTGCTTGTTGAACATGAATCTTACATTTACAATTCCCACATATCGATGACCAATTTGTCTCTGAACATTAGGCAAGTCGACGTCTTCAAGTTTCATTCCGTGAATAATCACTGATGTCCGTGGCACTGGGGGTGCCGTAGCATTGTTGTTGTTACTCGATGACATTTTCTCACTTCTTACTCTGTCTAGTTTCTTTCTCTTCTATATATCAGTTTATATAATATGTATAAGCTGTTCTGTCATTGCATCTTAAATTTGCAATATGTGCTTGGCTTGATTCAACATATATGACTAATAATCATTTTGTCCCATTCTGCATGGGAGTAAGGCTAAGAACCATTACATGAGTCAATATTTTTATCTGACTATAAAAGATGCAATGACAGAACAGCTAACATGTGTTACATAAACTGATTTATAAAAGAGAAAAAACCTACTCTATAAAAAAAAAAGGCTCCATACTAAACCATTAAGATTTGGTGTATTGCTTCGAAACTTTTAATGGTTTTGTAGCGAAATTTCGAAATTCAGAGGGTTTGTTAGATGGTACGAAACCTCAAAGCAAAATTTTTTTCTACAGGGTTTTGTACAGAGTATACGAAACCAGTGAAGTGGTTTAGTAGCATTAAAGGTTTAGTAGAAATTTCACAAAACCTTACGAGTTTCGTATCGCATTAAACACTTCTTCGATGAAAGAAGAATATGTTGAAAAACCAATAAACAACTAGTAGCAGATATTTATTAGTCTTAAGATAGTTATCCGAAAGACGTTGTCTATTTGAAACAGGCAATTTATGTGAATACCATTAGATGGAGCTATTTTTTCTCGGCTGTGATTGGTCTAATACAGAAACCAATAAATGACAGAATGTGAAAGATGACTATTTTATTTCTTTGCTTTTTGCATGAACTATAGCCTACTTCATCGGAGAAAGTTAAATCTACTGTTTTCCCATACCGTTTCTTCCTCGGTTAGTTAAACCAAGTTTAGAAATGACACCGTTCACACGATCTAAAAAAGTTCAATAACGGTTAAGGATTGAGGAACATCTTCTTTGGGAAAGCCATGTATCTTTTTTGCATAGCTGAGTGTATTTGCTTGATTATGTTTAACAAACATAATAAAGCACTTGAGGCTAGCAACTTGAAGTTTAATAATACTTCAAGTTTTATCGTTTGCTGATCTTTCATAATTCACTCGTCACATGTGAATAAGAACTAGTATGATGGGCTACTTGATGACTTGGTGGTATGGCCAACGGCAAAAAGTGTTTCCTTTCGTGCACTTTTAGGCGTTTTTTTGGGGCAAGATTTCGCGAGCCCAGCGATATCGCAAAAAAATCGCAATCAATAATTATCCATTCAAAATAAATTTGAGCATCGGCAATTCAAAATGCTCTTAAGCGCTAGTGTAGTCTAAGAGCATTTTGAATTGCCGATGCTCAAATTTATTTTGAATGGATAATTATTGATTGCGATTTTTTTGCGATATCGCTGGGCTCGCGAAATCTTGCCCCAAAAAACCGCTTAATGGATGACGTTATTCAGCCCTTGGCCGTATAATCAACTGGTTGGCTGGCTCTGTCAACTGAGAGGATTGGGTTATAGAAATTCTGTTAAATAGCCAAGCTGGCAAGTTCCCAAACTGAATTGCGAGATTAGTATAACAAACTGAGTGTGGAAAAAAGAAACAGAGTTGCTTTTTTTTATTTACAATTGATCTAAATTTGATGCACAATCGAGCACAATGACTAATTCTAAGATTCTAAGATTGTTTATTCACGAAAAGTGAGAGTCATCAAAGGTCACAGACCTCTAATAACAATGACTCCGAGTATGTAACGAAATATGACCTATTCTTCCACTCTCTTTCAACCATAATTCATCTCTCCCTCTCATTGTGTGAGGTATTCATTCACTCTCTTTTTGTATGTGTTCAATGTCACTTTCTGTAGTTAATATCAATATCACTTCAGACGTTTTGTACCATTATTGTAAGCATATACTGGTATTTATTCGAAGCTCGTTTTTTCCCTGCTTTTCAAGTCAGTCAAGTCTGACTTCTTGGAATAGAGGCGTTTTTGTCTTGACTTACCCAGCTCTGCATGGAAAACGACTCTACTTAGATCTTTAATATAATTTCTCTGTATTAAAAGAATGCACTTTTAAAATGACTTAAGAGACAGATAAAATTAGTAGTCGGTCAGAAGATCGGTAAAACCTTTTCCCAAGTCAAGTCTGACTTGACTTGTCCAGCTCCGATACCACGTTCATTGAAGCCTAAGAAAATACACGTATCAATTTCGCATAAATAAGTCCAATTAAATAGTGAATTTTTCTGCATGAATTGTAGAGATTAAATGGAAAAATCTGTCTGTAATATACTTGCGGTTACTATCGATATACTGTCCGCAAGGAAGAGCTTTACAAAACTACATAAAATCGGCTGGCTAAGAATCATAATTACAAAACGTCTGATTGAGGAAATTGAGAGGTAGCCGAAATATGATCATCAAGTTTGTACGAAACCTCTTTTGCTAGGGTTTAATACGAAACTTGTTGTATGAAACCTTTTTGCCAATAAAAAAAATAGAGGTTTTCGTAGCTGAACGCCGGAACCTAGGTTCGTACGAAACTTAAAAGGGTATAGAAATGGTTGCAATTCGCTATACCCTTTTAAGTTTCGTAATAAACCATTTTTTTTTAGAGAGTAGCCAGAGTAAAAATTGAGAAAATGTCATCGAATAACAACAACAATGCTTTTACGCTCGGCAAAACGGATATTGTGTTGCGTTTAGTCTGCTTGCAAATATAAAAAGCCTTTGCAACGCTGTTTTTTCGAATTTCAAAGTATTCTTTAGATTCTTACGAATTTCACAAACACATTTTTGTTTTTATACTTTCAAGTTCAAAGACCTTACTCATATTGTAGTACAACTGATATACTTTTGTATCCAAAGTAATTATGGTTAGCGGTTTAACCAATAGACAAGGTAAATGCGAGAAAAACTAGTGTTCGTATGATAAACCAAGGTTGCTCACTAAATTCTTCCGTCGTCAACACTGAAAACGACCTTATGCGATAACAAAATTTGTGCGTTCTATAAATTTATGCGGTTCAAACAAGCTAAGTGTGGTACACACTTTTGAGATTCGAAGCTGATATACTATTCTGCTCATGTAGTAGTACATGAAATGTATAATAAAATACATCAATGAAATAATACAGACAAAAAAGTAAAAAGATATTTGAAAAGAGGTGAGCAGAAATGGGTTTCTGCAACTAAAAAGTGCGCAGGTCAAAGAGTCACGACAGTATACTATAGTATTTTGTCGTATTTTGACGTAAACCCAGCCAACGTATTACGTCCATGGTAAACGACGTCGTTTAAGTTCAAATACGACGGTCGTAAAGGCTGACGTAATACGTTGGCTGGGTTTACGTCAAAATACGACGAAATACTATAGTATACGTCAAATTACGTCATCGTAATTTGACGTGTACGACCGTATAAGACGATCATAATCATGGACCTGAGTAATGGTTCTGGAACAACTAAAACTGATTGACTCACTTTACATGTTGGGCAGTAAGGAGACACCTCCTATATCCTACTTGGGATATAAAACACAAAATTTTGTCGTAAAAACGATTAAGGAAAAAATGACGACCTTGTGGGGAAAAATTGACATCATCATTAGAAAGAGTTCGAAAAACTACATTGAATTCGGACGAGTTTGATTAAAAGTGTATCAGGAGTCCAGCAACTATTTTTTTGAATAAAAACCCTTAGCAAATTTTAGTCGAATTTACATCCTGATCGGTAAAAACCTTTTATTGTTCTGAATGGGGTATATTCTTGATCTAATTGCTTTCAACAACGACCGTCTTTTTTTATTTTTTCTTCTCCCGATAAAAAGAGATTCATATGGCAGGATCTGTTGACAAGCCTGCCATATTACTCTTTTTCTATAGGATTTCGATGCACACATATATTGAAAGACACATTTCTTTTCTCATGCGTCGATAGTATATAAGTATACGTACTTTGTGTTTAACGGGAATTTTCCAACTGTTTATTCTGGCACATAAACCGCCTTACGTTTTTTTATAAGTGAATCGCAAGTTGCTGTATCTCTTAAAACGTTAACAGTCGTGAAGCCAGCATTTCTGAAGATGCTAAAAGAACATCATAATTCCAGCCGCATTTATACTCAAATTGCCTAGTACGATAACACCCCTTTCAAACTAATTAGATTTGGTGAAAAACACGTTAAAGTGGAAATAAAAAATTACATTAATCAACAAAAAGTTTTCAACCCTAATTGTTCGTTTCTATGTCATCTATGCATTACGATTCAATGTCTGGGATCTGAGTGAATGGAAGGTGTTCGTTAATTTGACTAAAAATGAGTAATTTTTAAAACATCTCCCGTTTTTTTCTATGGTACTATTTCTTTTTCATATAAACTTTTGAGCATGTTATGCCTTCAATTAGTTAGAGCGAACATTAGTGCGTCTTGTAATATTATCATTTATTATTGTCCTGTAAAGCTATTTCGCCTTCCTTAAACCAAGATGGTTTAAGAAAGGTGAAATAGCTTAATAGGACAAATTTTTTAGATCATATTATACTTGAATAGTATCGAAACACTATTTTTTAGTTTTTTGTGGAAAACAAGAATAAGAAGCTTCCAAGGTTCCCAAATGTATTCGGGTTTTATGTTGGTTTTTCAAAATTCAGCTATTTTTTAAAATTTTAAAATCTTAAGTTTTTTTACATTTTCGACATTAAAATTTTAATTCGAAAGGTTGAAATACACATATTCAGATTCAGGTCGTCGAGCTCTATTAAGCTATGTATAAATGTCGAAAAAATAAAAAGTGTTCCTCTTTTGAATTTCCTTAGCCTTATCAACGTGAAAATTCGAAAAAAATGAAAGTAATCGGATAAAATAGAAATATACATCACGCGACTCAGTTTTTGATCCTGATTCTGAATATGATATTTGTATTGCTCAGAATGAGTTCTGATCGAGAAAATTGAGAAATACCGGCAGAATTTCGAGTTTTTCTCCTCTGATTTAGAAAAAATAAATTTTCTCAGCAAGAAAAAATAATTTTTTAAAAAACGCTTTCAATAAGGAATTTGAAAATAATAAGCAAAAATTCGTAGATCCTCTTAACAAGAAAATCCAGAGCTTTTTCTCACAACGAAAAATTTTGGCACTTTTCGAGTACTTTCAGTGTTTCCGATTTTTCTCAATGAAGAAAGGGTTTCTCGAGGCTAAAAATATTGTATTACTGAATTCCTGTCATCCTGTATTCCTATTCATCCTATTTCTATCCTCTGTCCTCTGCTAGGATCAAAAATAAAAAATCCTTTTTGTTAAAACAAGTTTGTTCCTCATGCCGGCATGTTTCTATTTATATAGTATTTGTAAAAAATCTTATTGTGTGAATTCATCTCGTTTCTGCTGTAATGTAATATGGTATACTTTTCATATTTCGTATCAAGTACTTCTGCTTATACTACTTATCAAAGATTTTCTTGAACTAGAACGACAGCGAGAATATATAATTCTCATTATATCATTCTGTTCAAAACACAAAATCAACCATTGAATGAAGCTATGATCGAATACACGAACTTGATCTCTGCAGATGAACTGCAAAAATCAACTTCGCTGTTCTGTACAACGATTGAAGTTGTGCGTGACTCTATGTTGTCCTTGTTTATTCTTTTTTTTGGGTGAGTTTTTGTATTTAAATTCTGACGTAACATGAAAGTTGGGGAGCTTAAATTATAGATATTTCTTGCCCTTAGTTAAACATTTCTATTAGATGTAATAATTGTATGCTGAGGGATGCCGAACGTTTCTTTGTATTTCATGAAATCGAAAGTAAAAGTAATGTCAACAAAAAATTCATTTGTATATACATTTTTCTCTGTTCTCCATCACTTCAGACTACAGTAGTAAGAGTTTAAAAATTTCTTTTCAGTCAACTATAAGAAAAAAGAACCAAAATATTGTTGTCCTCACATGTGGTTCATGAAAAAATTGAAATTGTAATTTAAACATCCATTGTACGCTTGTGCTGTAAAAGTATTTTTTTCGAATAAGCGAAATTTTTTCGAAAAAAGTATTCCTCCATTTGCTCTATTCGTCATTTTTTCAACTCAGCGGCAAACCATAATGGCCGTAGACGAATGTAGCATTAGAGTTGTATGTCGTTTTCGTCCGTTAAACGAATCAGAAGAACGTGCTGGGAGTAAAAGTGTTGTCAAGTTCCCGCCTGATCAAGAGGAAACGGTTCTTATAACAGGCAAAGTTTATGTATTTGACAAAGTATTTCGACCTGATGCCACTCAAGAAAAGGTGTATAATGAAGCAGCTAAAGAAATTGTCAAGGATGTATTAAGTGGATACAACGGGACGATATTTGCTTATGGACAAACATCAAGCGGAAAAACACACACAATGGAGGGCGTGCTCAACAAAGAAAATGAACAAGGCATTATTCCAAGAATTGTTCAAGATATATTCAATCATATTTACACGTTGGATTCAAATCTTCAGTTTCAAATTAAAGTTTCTTATTTCGAAATATACCTCGATAAAATTCGTGATTTATTAGATGTTTCAAAAACTAACCTTGCTGTTCACGAAAATAAAAACAAAGTCCCATACGTCAAGGGAGTCACTGAGCGTTTTGTCTCTTCACCCGAAGAAGTGTTTGAAACAATTGAAGACGGAAAAATGAATCGTCATACAGCTGTGACAAATATGAACGAGCATAGTTCCCGTTCGCATTCAGTTTTTTTGATCAATATCAAACAAGAAAATATGGAAACTGAGAAGAAATTAACTGGAACACTTTATTTAGTCGATTTGGCTGGCAGTGAGAAAGTATCAAAAACTGGTGCTGTAAAAACGGTGCTAGATGAAGCCAAGAATATTAATAAATCCTTATCTGCACTTGGCAACGTTATATCAGCATTAGCCGATGGAACGAAATCACATGTGCCTTATCGTGACTCGAAATTAACTCGAATATTACAAGAGTCATTGGGTGGTAATGCACGTACAACGATAATTATTTGTTGTTCACCAGCTAGTTACAATGAATTAGAAACAAAATCAACACTCGAATTTGGAAAACGAGCTAAATGTATCAAGAACTCAGTTACGGTCAACGAAGAATTAACAGCTGAAGAATGGAAACGTCGGTATGAAAAAGAACGTGAGAAAGCAGCCCGTCTCAAAGGACAGCTTAGTAGAGCCGAAGCCGAATTAGAAAGATGGAGACGAGGCGAAACTGTGACAAAAGATGAGCAAGTGAATTTACTTGAAACAGATGATTCATTATTATCAATTTCAACAACACAATCCATGTCGTCATTGGCTACAGCGGGTTCTGTAACAGCATCAACCGTCGGAATATTTGCTGTAGGTGCTGCTTCTGTTGCAACGACCAGTTCCACGATTCCAGTTCTTGCTGCTAATGTGGAAGAGTGGGACAAAGAACGTACAACGTTATATCAGCAATTAGATGAAAAAGACGATGAAATCAATAATCAATCACAACTGATTGAACGTCTTAAATCTCAATTGGCTGAACAAAATGAAGTGTTTAATCACGCAAGAAAGGATAATGAAAATTTGCAGGCCGAATTGAATCGTTTACAACAAGATAGTGAATCGTCTAAAGAAGAAGTCAAAGAAGTATTACAAGCATTAGAAGAACTGGCAGTCAATTATGATAAAAAAACACAAGAAGTTGAGACGAAAAGCAAAGCAAACGAAAATTTAGCACAAGAATTAGATGCAAAACTAGCATCATTAAATGGTATACGTGAGGAACTGAAAAGTCTTCACGAAGATTCACAAACACAACGCAAACATTTTCTTGATATGATTCTCGTATTACTGCGGGATGTTGGTGATATTGGTAGTGTGCTGGGCGGACAAATGAATGAACAAAAGAAACCAACAATTGAAAATCTTGATCGGACTGAAGAGGAATTTACCCTTGCTCGTCTATATCTAAGTAAACTGAAAACAGAAGCACGCACCGTTACTGGACGCTTAACTGATTTAGAAGTGGAAAAAGTCAATCATCAAAAAGTTATTGAGTTTAAAGAGAAAGAATTGAATGAATCACGTTTGCTTATACAACAATATGAAGGAAAAATGCGTTCTGTGTTAGAGACAATGAAAGAATTAGAAGAGAAAAAACGAAATTTAGAGCGTACATACGATATACTTAATGAAGAATTAGTTAAATTACGTGCACATGAGGTCGTTACTGGTACTGGTGGTTCGACATCTGATGTACAAAAAGAATTGAATCAACTAATGGAACAAATTAGTGAACAACATCAAAAACAATTGACAACGCTAAGAGATGAAATATACTCAAAAGAATCTCAAATAGAAATGTTAAAAGATACCTTGCAAAAATTACAATTATCTTATAGCAAATTAGTGAGTGATTTTGACAAATCGAAAAAGGAAGAAAACGAAAAATCAAGCAAATTACAGGAGATGATCTTACAACATGAACGACGTGAACAAACTAAGCAAGACTTGAAAGATCTGGAAGAAGCAGTATCAAAAGAACTGCAAACTTTACACAATTTACGAAAGTTGTTCGTAGAAGATTTACAAGCACGTCTAAAATCCTCACAAAAACACCCTGGGACAGAAGAAGATGATCTCGGCGGTAGTATTGCTCAGAAACAAAATATATCATTTTTCGAAAATAATCTTGATCAACTGACGAAATCTCACAACCAGCTTGTAAGTGAGAATGCTGATTTACGTTGTGAGTTACAAAAATTAGAAAAACGTTTTAGAGCTACGATGGAACGTGTTAAATCATTGGAGCAAATATTAAGAGACACAAAAGAAAGTGCAATGACAGATCGTAAACATTATCAATGTGAAGTCGACCGTATCAAAGATGCTATCAGACAACGAAATCTTGCAAAACGAACAAATACAGCACAAATTGTGAAACCAATTCGTGCCGGCCATAATCCTTCGACTATTACATCAACACCTATTCCAATCATTCGTGGTGGTAGCCAGTCTACAGAACCTTAATTAAATTGACCTGAATGGAAAGGAAACTCATGACCGAGATTGGTTCGGGCACCTACTACTTATCTATCAATCATCACACACACCAATTCACGCTGACATATATACATTTTTTTTCGTTTAACTTTAATTCTAGTATCTGACTCGAATTATGTAATTTTAATTCCTCGTCTACATTGCGCGAAACAAGCAAAGAATATGTAACACAGGAATGTTTGTTTTATATGAATAGATTTGCTATTAAATATATTTGCTGCTTGCGGAGAAAATTTCCCGAAAAGCGATGTTATGACGGCTCACAAGTTTAGCGAAGTGTAACATAATATAAGATAGCGTAAGATAAGGTAAGGTAAGGTAGCGAAGACCAGTTAAGATAACATCACGTAAGATAAAATAAGACAGGGTAAGGTGAGGGAGAGAAGAGGAGTTGAGTTCTCGTGTGTGCTGCGTACGCTTAGTATCATAAAGAAATCTAGTGTGTTGTTTCTCTCTTGTATGAATAAGAAGCATAGAAAGAAACAAGATTTCTTAGTAACTGTTTTTTTATGTATGGTATATATTCTTTTATTATTTGAGTTGCTCTTGTAGAAAAGTGTGTAGTATTAATAAAGGACGGGGGTCGATAAGAGGCAAAATCGGCCCCTCTTAGATCAAGCTCATATTCACCAGTGTGATGTAGTTTTTCTCGCTGATTAAAACTAGCATCTCAAAAAACCCATTTTCAGCCCCCATGGAAAAAATTCCCCACCCAAACTTTTCTCCCCTTTAATGAACTTTATGTAGAATGTTTTCCCAGTTTCTCCTCTTTCCCCAAAGAAAACCTAAACTACTCTATATCATTCGATAGAGAATTTCACGGGCGTTGAAAGAAGTGAATCAACTAATGGAACAAATTACTGAACAACATCAATAGTTGATTCAATTCTTTTAACGCCCACGAATTTCTCTATCGAATGATATACAGTAGTTTAGGTTTTCTTTGGGGAAAGAGGAGAAACTGGGAAAACATTCAATTCTTTTAAACGTTTTTTTAGAAATGATTTTTCTATCTTCGCCAAATTTTGATCAAATCAGCTCAAACTCACAGAGAATAGGTAGAAAAGAGTGCTGAATCTGATACAATACAAGATATTTTTATTGATTTAAAAATGCTTGTCAGAACGTATGTTCGGAGGGCAATTTTAAGAGATTGTCTTGTAAGTGAGAGTCA